ATGTGGCCAGTGCCAGTGGAGTGTTGTGAGGTGTTGGTTCCAACATGGAGGTCCTTCAGAGCAATTGCTGAGCTGAATTTGGCAGTGCTTACTCTGGTTTCCTTGTTGTGTCTTGTGTCTGTTTAGCTTGTATCAGAGTTTGGTATGAGGGGAGTCTGAATATCAGTGTGGTGAATTTTGGAGATGTCATCCTGTTTAACAATCAATAATATCTATCAATTTGCATTTTACTGCTGCCGAGCGAGAATCTCATCATGCTGCTTGTGAAAAGCATGAAAGATGGAGTGAGATGATCTCAATGTCGAGATGGACCTTGCCACAATTGTTTCCTGATTGTGTCACTAATCTTGCCATAGGCCATGTTACTTAGACCCATACAAGATTCTGTCCAATATCTCTACTTATGGTGCCCAAGATCCTATATCTGCTAACCACTCTCTCGATATGTCCTGATTGATGCCCTTTTGTTCTACACGCTGTTTAGAACTAGGCCAAAAGTCCATATTACCTCTCCCTATCCTTTCTGCCAAAATGTATCACCTCATATTTCTCTCTATTAAATTCTATATATCAGCTAGCCTATTTGTGTCCTGTTGCAGATTATTTGCAGTATTTTAACTGTTTGTCAATCTTCCAAGTTTGGTAACATTAGCAAATTTTATTCCATATTTCAAGATCCAAGCTATTTTCAGCATTATGTAGAGTGGGCCAAATGATTCCACAACCAGAGCTTCATCTAGACAATGGCAAAGAGCTTAATACCGAGGTGAAAGTGATCGATGTTGACACCAAAGTATCATCGGATAGAAAGCGGCATCAAGGAGCCCTCATAAAATTGTAGCAAATGGGAATGAAGGAAAAACATTCAACTGTTTGAACTTCTACCAAGCATAAAGGAAGGTGGCTGTGATTAAAGAGGATCAATCCTCTCAACAGTACATTACTACAGGAGTTCTTTGGGGCAGTGTCCTAGGCCCAACTATTTGCAAATGCTTTATCAATGACCTTCAGTCTATTGTAAGGCCAGGATTGGGAATATTAATTGATGATTGTGCATTATTCAGTTCCATGCTGAATTCCTTAAAAACCAAAGCAGGCTTACATAGAACATAGAACATAGAACATTACAGCGCAGTACAGGCCCTTTGGCCCTCGATGTTGCGCCGACCTGTGAAACCAATCTGAAGCCCATCTAACCTAAACTATTCTATTATCATCCATATGTTTATCCAATGACCATTTAAATGCCCTTAAAGTTGGCGAGTCAATTATTTTTGCAGGCAAGGCATTCCACGCCCTTACTACTCTCTGAGTAAAGAACCTACCTCTGACATCTGTCCTATATCTACCACCCCTCAATTTAAAGCTATGTCCCCTCATGCTAGCCATCACCATCCGAGGAAAAAGGCTCCCACTGTCCACCCTATCTAATCCTCTGATCATCTTGTATGTCTCTATCAAGTCACCTCTTAACCTTCTTCTCTCTAACGAAAACAGCCTCAAGACCCTCAGCCTTTCCTCATAAGACCTTCCCTCCATACCAGGCAACATCCTGGTAAATCTCCTCTGCACCCTTTCCAATGCTTCCACATCCTTCCTGTAATGCGGTGACCAGAACTGTACGCAATACTCCAAGTGCGGCCGCACCAGAGTTTTGTACAGCTGCAACATGACCTCATGGCTCCGAAGCTCAATCCCTCTACCAATAAAACCTAACATACTGTACGCCTTCTTAACAACGCTATCAACCTGGGTGGCAACTTTCAGTGATCTATGCACATGGGCACCGAGATCTTTCTGCGCATCCACACTACCAAGAATCTTACCATTAGCCCAGTACTCTGTATTCCTGTTACTCCTTCCAAAGTGAATCACCTCACACTTTTCCGCATTAAACTCCATTTGCCACCTCTCAGCCCAGCTCTGCAGCTTATCTATGTCCCTCTGTAACCTGAAACATCCTTCCGCACTATCCACAACTCCACCGACTTTGGTGTCATCCGCAAATTTACTAACCTATCCTTCTACGCCCTCATCCAGGTCATTTATAAAAATGACAAACAGCAGTGGCCCCAAAACAGATCCTTGAGGTACACCACTAGTAACTGAACTCCAGGATGAACATTTCCCATCAACCACCACCCTCTGTCTTCTTACAGCTCGCCAATTTCTGATCCAAACCGCTAAATCACCCTCAATCCCATCGGACAATTCAGATGGGCTATCCAGTGGAAAATAATGTTCATGCCAGTCAAGTACACGACAATTAACATCTCCAACAAGAGAGATAAAAGAAATACATTCCCTTTGATATTCAACCATTGTTGAAATGCAATATCCTGGAGGTTACTATTGACCAGAACCTGAACTGGGCCAGCCTATAAATGGCATAGCTATAAGAGAAGGTCAGAGGCTCACCTCCTGACTCTTGACAAAGCCTCTCCACAAGACACAAGTTAGAGATGTGATGCATTACTCTCCAATTGCCTATCTGAGAGCATGCTCCAACAACACTTGAGAAGATTAATACTGTTCAGGACAAAGCAGCCACTGGATTGAAACCCTATCCATTATTATGTAGCAACTACAAGATGCATTTCAGAAAATTATCAAGATTTCATCAACACCTTCCAAACCTGTGAAGATTCCACATGGCAGAACAGGGGCAGCAGATCCATGGAAACACTACCATATGCAAAATTCCATCCCAAGTCATTTGCCGTCCTGACTTGGAAATATTATAATTCTTCTTTAATACTGAGCTAAAGTCCTGCTACCTCCATCTCTAATAGCACTATGGGTGTTCTTTCACCACACAGACTGCAGTTCAAGAAGTCTGTTCACCATTAACTTCTCAAAGGCATTTAGCAGGTGCAATAAATGCTACAATGCCAGCCCACATTCCATAACTGAATACAAAATAAAACCTAGATGCCCATTAGCAGTCCCCTTAAACTGTTGGCATTGCCAGCATTCAGCATGGCAATGAAACAATGAGTTACTGGATCAGGTTTTTTGATTGTAATACCTTTAGAAACCCAATTAAAATGAATGGGCTATGTCAACTACATGAACAGAAAACCTAGGACACAGATGTATGCTAAGCTCTATAACCCATACCTTGTTAAATCAAGCAGAATTGTGTATGACTGTGAAGGTTAATAAGATGTTTTGCACTTAGCTCTGATAAATTTAGAAACTGTAAGTTTTCCTGCGTTTTTTTAAGCCAAGCCAGTTCATTCGCACAACTTTGTCAGTAAAAGATAATCACCTATCACCTTTTTTTTCTCCTTGCAAAAAAATGTAATCTTCAAACCCACATGTAGGTTTAAAGCTTTCTTATAAAACCCATTAGCAGGCTGTGATGCCGACTGTTTTAGAATTCAAACATTTAGGCATCTACCATTTCCACTCAAAGTATGTGCTGGTAAGCTGTTGCTGTGAATTGGTTTTGCTAATGAGATTTAGTTAAGACCACAGGGTACCCATTATGCAGAATATTTGATTGTCAGTCACCATAAGTTGCAGTTGGTCAGCAAACTTCAGTCTAATTTCCAGGGTGTAAATAGGAAGGGGCAAGATTGTAAGATTTTTGCATAAAACAAACAATTACAAAGCAAGGGAATAATATTTGGATCTGAGGACCATGGCAGCATTATTAACACCTGCTGCTTCACTAATGGAAAAAGTATTCTACAATACATCAGCTGGAAATGTGTTATTAGTACAATCTACCTCTCAAAGCCATTTACTGCCAATTAAATGGCCAGAACATCCTGTCGTTTTTCTCAGCGAACAAGTTCTTATTAAACAGTCAATAGATTTATTTTGCAGAATTTACACTAAAATAGCAGAAGCTTTCAGGAGAGAGGAATATTTCTTAAGCTTTCATTTGACGGGTTTCCTGCAGAATTGAAATATATTCTTTAGAAGAAACTTTGAGATGCAGCCAGCTTTTTCTATTATTCTTTCATCAGAAATAACTACAGTCACAAACACACATCCTATATTCAAAAAAACAAACATTTAAAATAAAATTGATTTGTTGCTTCAAATGGAATTTTTAAACCATTCTCCACAGAATAATAATCATGCAACCTTTAATGTTGTTTTCATGGAAACTTAAGAAAGGTTTTCTTTTTTCCACAGGTAATAGATATGTAGTGATATTCATTTAGAATCAGAACTCAGAAAAGTCAGAACACAGAGACACTTCCGTTGATTCTTAGACTGTGGACAGTGTTCAACTGAGCCCCTGAAGCACTGGCAGCAGTTTTCGTTCGCAAGAAAATCACCTCAGCCGCTACACATTTTTCTAAAATTTAATAAGTATGAGCTGTTACTGGGAAAAATAGGCTGCTGAATAATGATTAAAGAATTCATAATGACTACAAAATAACTGCAAAGTGCAGTGCCCACCTCCATGCTTAAAGCATAATCCCTGTTAAATTTATGCTATTAGCACAGATGCTCACACCCACACTCCAAATGGAGAAGTATACTATTGATCCAGGAGGCTACATTGAGGACTGAAGACATTTTTTACAGTGTTCAATAGTGGGCAATTAGTGCTTTAAGTTACCTTGATGGCCTGGCTTAGGAAATAACAGATGGTGTGTCTGGCGTTTTGGTGCCTCTTCGAGCAAAGTTAAGGGTAATCAAGAGAATCCCCATAGAAACATACACCTAATGCAATTAGGACTGAAGGTAAGAATATTGGGAGAAACTTGACTGGTTTTGAATACCTATGCATTTTACAGGAATTATTGTGCCCCTCCTTAAAAGCTAAAATCCAGTCAGTCGGCCTGCAAAATCAATAACTGAACTAATTTTAAGCACCGAATAAGTCTCAGCTAGTTTCTACAATTATCTCTATAAAACTGATGCTCGAGGTTGACAAACTTGAACTAAGCATTTCATCATCAATCATCTGCATGCTTCAGAATTCAGGGATTAACTGCAATCAACTCAGAAGCTGTCAGAATTATAATCAGACTTACAGGAACATCCACATACTTGGAAGCTGCTTTCACCTTTAAAAGGAAATAGAAAGAAGTAAGATGAAAAAATAATTTTTAAACTAAATACACACAAAAATATATTAAATCACTAAGTAATCTTAGTGATATTAAAAAAGATTCCCTAAAACAGAGTTAACACAGTGTGGAGCTGGAGCAGCACAGCAGGCCAGGCAGCATCAGAGGAGCAGGAAAGTTGATGTTTCGGGTCGGGACTCTTCTTCAGAAATGGCGGCGGTGGGGGGTGGGGGGGATGGTAGGTGGAAATGGAGAGGTTGAGGGAGGGTTGGAGGCCTTGGGGTGGTGTCCAGGAGGATGGGGTGTGTTGGAGGCAGGAGAAGGGGTCTAAAGAAGGTGGGTTAGAATCGCAGTTAAAGAAATAGGGGTGGAGGTGGAGGCGGCGGAAAAGTGTTCGACGTCCAAATGTGAATGGAATTTCTGAAGAAGGGTCCCGACCCGAAACGTCAGCTTTCCTGCTCCTCTGATGCTGCCTAGCCTGCTGCGTTCCTCCAGTTCCACACTGTGTTATCTCTGACTCCAGCATCGGCAGTTCTTACTATCTCTAAAGCATAGTGGTCTAGATATTCCATTGGTCAGACAATTAGTGGAGCAGCCAGGTCCAGAGTTACACATCGGGAACATTTGGAATCACAAACACAGCTAACATCATGGCAAATGCTTGGGAAGCTGAGGTTCCTCAGCGTCTGGAACCCACCTGAAGAATTTATTAAAGTCAAAGATTTCAGAGAGTCCTGCTTCAGTTAACCAGTGTTCCAGTAATGGAATTAAATTAAAATCCTGGTCTAACTCCTGGGTAACTATTAAACTGACCCCCAAACTCGGCGCTCATTGACCCCAAATACACTTCCCCTTCACTCCTTACAGCCCCCAGGCCCCTGACAACCAACCCCAACCCACCTGACTAGCCAACCCCTCCCCAATCCGCCAAACTAGTAAGATTCCACACCACCCCTCAACCCAAATGGGGTTCGACAGCTTTTTTCCCTGCCCTCACCTCCCCCATGGCACCAGACCTGACACTCCCCACAACCCGCTCTTGCCGATCCAACACCTCCCCCACACCCTGCCAGATACAACACACCTTTTACAACTTTATAAAACATTGGTCAGGCCACAGATGGAATACTGCACACAGTTCGAATTGCTGCACTACTAGAAGGATGTGACTGCACTGGAGACGGTGCAGAGGGGATCACCAGGACGTTGCCTGGAATGAAAAGTCTCAGTTATGGGAGAGGCTGGATAGGCTGGGTTTGTTTTCCTTGGAGCAGAGGAGGCTGAGGGGTACATTTGATTGAGGAATACAAAATCATGAGAGGCATAGACGGAGTAGATTGTGAGAAACTGTTCCCCATGACAGACATGTCTGAGACCAGAGGGCATCAACTTAAGGTGAGAAGCAAATAGTTTAGAGGAGATATCGGGGGAAAAAAACTTTTTCACCTACAGAGTTGGAGAAATATGGAACATGCTGCCTGAGAGAGTGGTGGAGACAGAGACTCTCACAATATTTAAGCAGCATCTGGATCAGCACTTAAAATGCCAGGGCACAGTAGGCTACAGGCCAAGTGCAGATAAATGGAATTAGTGAAGTTTGGTGCTTGTTGGTCAGCATAGACATAGTGGGACAAAGGGGCTATTTTGATGCTATATGACTCTATGGCTCTCTATGACACCACCAACCCACTGGCCTGAAACCACCATGGATGACACCACCATTATCACCAGAGCCGATATCCCCACTTCCGAGGACCTGACACCCTCCCCTTTCTCCATGCTGGATCTGACGTACCATTCCTCCACACTCAGCATCTTCAACCTACCCAAATGCTCCATTGTTTACCCGCCACCCTACCACCTGGCATGCTACTTACCTGGCATCCAAACCGCTTAACCAGCTGACACACTAATCCCACAACCTACATACTTAGCCTTTCACAGGAGCTATCAAAGTGGCTGGATGTATCACTGAGAATTTAAATCACAGAGCACATCATCTACCGCTATTAAAAAGTAGTCATGGCTTGAATCTCCCGGCTATCCAGTACATTGAGGGAACTGTTAGAAGTGTTGGATTTCTGAAGGAGCCAGGATTAGGAATTGCTGGCAAAAAAAACACGGAGCTCAATACTAATGAAACAAAACTGGAGTGGAGATGTAATCTGACTGTGAATGTCGTTCCTCAGAATATCTGAGCCAATATTTAATTGCAATTCAGAAGATGACTAGAGTGGAACCTTCATGAACAGTTATAATCAAAGTGAACTACAGAGATTTTCAGATAATCACAGATTTACATTTATGATATTACACACTAGGCTGTACATTAGACATGGACATTAATGGAGAGAACCTCAATAAAAAGAACACGTTAAATTTAGTCTTTCTTGTGAGATAAGGCTAGCAAGCTGTAGATAAGATGAAATCTTACAGATGGGTTTGTTCCACCAATTCTGTCAGACAAACAGAAAGTTGGGTCATTGAGAGTTTATATACTAGAGATTCTACTGTAGACCCTACAATACAAATACAGCTGCAGTGACTTAAAATTGAGAATATTTCCAAATATATTTTTTCATGAACAAGAATAAGTGATTTTTATAGCTTGTAGATACTTTTGAGAAAAATAAATTAAGAGAAAGATATTTTTCTTACAGTGAATGACAGAAAGGATGAGAAGAGAGTCCCTTCATCGTATCTGGATAGTTTGGACAGTACTCCTTCCAAAATAGTGACAAACTAAGTAGAGAAACATATTAGAAGCACATTAACCAATTTGGGCTTAACACTACTGTTTCTTCAAAACATAAAATGAATAATCATTGTTTGAAAGATTGAAGAATTTAAGGTTTAATCTACATCAATAATTGAGCTTTTGTGATTTGCCACCTGCACTGTTCAATAAGCTGCTAAACATTGTACTATTGTTGCAAATGATATCATTAAGCTCCATATGAATAAAATTTTGGCCAGATATATTATGACCATTGTTCAGTTATATTACTGATTAGACTCTTTGTCTACTCATTTCCTCTAACTGAATCAAAGTAACTTATAGGAACAGACACAATATGATTTTTTAATTCATTATTTCATAAGGTGCATTAACACTTCATTGCAATGGTGACGCGTCTAACATCAGCCAAGTAGCATTTAGCGATAATTACAAGTTACCCCTATACTCAATAATTTGGCCAATGCTGAACATTGCCCGCAGTAAATTTTGTACAGAATTTAACCTTTCAGTGTGTCTAATTAAGATTTCAGCTTTCATTAACAGTCCTAAAAGCCATTTTGCACTGTACCTTTGCAACCATGAGAGTTATCATTTCTTTGACAGTTTCTTCAATTAACTCATCAATTTTAGAATGATATTGCCGCTGAAAAAAAAACAGAAAATCACGTGGGCAAAATGGGGCATTTACTCTTAAAATAACATGCTGGCCTAAACATGTCAAGTCTTGTCAATCTATAATAAAATATACGTAGCTTTCTTCTCCTCTATCATTTTCAACCATAGTGAGGAATTTTCAGACCAGGCATGGTACTTGCTAAGTACTTCGTATGTAACTGACAGTAAGCAAGAAGCAGGGTTGAATTATCTTATGGCAACATTTTTGCATCTCCAGCAGAATTACAGGAAACTACTGGCAAAGACCTAAGACCGAATAATGCCACTTATTTTCCATGAGTAAGCTTGAAGTATCTGATCCTAAAGTTACAAAGTGTGATGTTGACATCAAATAATTAGTCTCCTCGCTTCTTTCTGCTCTCTTTAATAATACCGCACGTCTCTTGCAAAATAATGTTGGCATTTCTGATAAACATGCCTTAAATGTTTGCGTATCGTTATCTGTATATAGCCTGCAAAAACAATAGTCAAATAAATATTAAATCAGCAGAAATCATTAAAAATAAGTTTTAAAATACAGTTCTTACATTATTAAAATTATTCTGTATTTCTATACAAACTACTCCAACAATTTGGTGCCAATAATTTCAAATAAATTTCAATCGATGTATGCTTAAATAATTCACAAATCAACGTTTAATCGAGAAGACAATGGCACAGTGTGACATGTGCAGAGTTACCTATTAATTTCCAGAAAGGTCTTTCAATGTGAGAATTGCTTCCTCCAGGATATAACATGTTTCTGATAGGCAACTAGCACTGCCAACAACGGTTCAATTTCCCAAATACATATTTTACAACTAAGTACCTAATCTATAATTTAACATTTGAACAATGGCGCAATTATATCTCTGCTTTGAAATTAAGCCATATTTAATATAACATGGATTACGCACAGACGATTTTTTAGTTATGAGTATTAATTAGTTTCAATTATTTTGGAATAATGAAAGGTTTGACGAACAGATATGATTATAGATCATCATTCAATGAGGGTTTACTATCATTTATTGCAAGGAAACTATCATCCTCACAAACTCATGGCGCTGTAGTTCCCAGGGCATTTCTGAGTCTCCCACAGGAAATGTGATGGGAGACTAGCAGACATACCAAACGAATAGTGAAAGCAACCTTTCATTGTCATTGCTGGGAGGTTATAAGAAACCCAACAGAATTTCAAGAATTCTTTCTTTTACAGTTTGCTTCATAAGTATGCCTTTATAAATAGGGGCATAGAATACAAGACAAGTAAGTTATGACAACCATTGACAAATTGCCGGTTAGGCTTCAGCTGGAGCACTGTGCACAAATCCAGGCATTGCATTTTAGGAAAATTACCAATAAGGGTGCAGGCGAAGATTACCAGGATAATATCAGAAAGGCTTTTCAGTTAGGCGAAGGGATAGAGAAGCTGGGATTGTTCTGTTTAAAGCAGAGAAGGATTTAGGGAAACTTAATCGATGTATTTAAAAATTCTGAGTGCTTTGAGAGTATAAGTGGTGGGAAACTGTTTGGTCACCTGGTGACATAAAAAAATACTTCATTTTAATTATTTTGTAAATTATTTTAATGAGTTCGTTTTCACACAGAGGGTCGTTAAGATCTGAAATGCACTATTTGAAAGGTTGATAAAAACAGAATGTCATGGCAACTTTTAAAAGGAAGTATACTTGAAGGTGATGGTTTTTGACAGTTAGAGGGAAAAGTTGGATTGTGTAACTAAATTGGATTGATCTTTCAAAAAGCAAGAACAAGTACAACATGTTGAATGGCCAATTTCTGTGCTGTATGATTGTTGATTTAAAATCTGAATAAAATTAGAATAGTTCAGGGATACTCGTTTCATCCTTGATTTTGGCCCTCCAAGTGCTTGCATTTTGAATGAAAATATCCAACTTTGGACATTTGCAGAATTCTGCTTCAAATATGTGCCATTAACTCCATGTATGAACCCCAAGGTTAACAAGGAGATAGCAGCTTAATCTTGCAATAAAAAGCTAAATAAACAAATAATATGAATGATGCATTCAAAGAAACATAAGTTAACTAAATATTCATAGAACACTGCTGCAGAAAAGAACTGAAATGGCTTTTATATGAAACATATTGTTCTATTAATCCTGACAATTCAGGAAAAATAAATCATTGTAGATGTTTCTCCAATTCAATGTCATATTACTCCAGAATGAAATTAGAGAGACTGTTTGATACAGATACTCCTAAATAAATAAATAATGTTTGCGAACTGTAGCACAGCTTTAATATTCAATGGATTAAAATAGCTATACCAGAACATACTCTAAAGTTTAAAGAACTGAACAGAATAATATGCATCTTTACATGATGTATGAATAATTTATTTTAAAAGTTTTAATTTGGGAATAACGTGTTACAACTGATTCTGAATTATACTGTAAATACCTAATCGAAAGTAATTATTTTCATGGAAAAGTGTTAACTTACTTCCTGGCCCACCTCCATGCTGCAAAGCTTTGTGGACTGTGTCTTGGCATCCACCATCACATTAAACATGGTGCATATTGACTGTGGGACACGGAAATCTGTTGACCTGCTTGTCTTCTGTAGCTTGGCTTCAAATGCAATCCTAGTCCTATTAAAGAAGAAATTGTTTTGAAATTTGAAGTAGTGTCAGGGGCCATCTGTCAGGAGCATGTTTATAAGCATACCAATAGTATTTTCTTATTCAAAAATGTTAATTATTTGCATTATGTATTCAACAGCGCTTTATATAAAAAGTATTAATTGTAAATGACATTGAAACATATCTTCCTTTTCTTTTGCATATTTCAGTTTAGAATATGCTAATTTTTATCATTATTTACTTCTACCTATAATGAAACTGGTAACAGCCACTCGTGAGGTTCTAACTTCGTACTCCAACCACCTCTCCAACTAGTGGTGGAATCGTGATGAGGACTTGAGGACCCACCCTTCCCCAGCTGCAGAGCCCGTGAAGGAACAGCAAAGGCCAGCAGAATCACACTCCAATCAGGCGGTGTGATAATCTCAGCAGCAACCAGTGAGGCCCTTAATCAATCCTTAATAGGCTTAAGGGTTTCAGTTAGTGTTGGGGCTTGGAAGGTTGAACATGCGCTTTCCTGCCAGAACTTAATTCTGTGGATATGGCAAGGTGGCAGATTTTGAGTATAGCACTATCAGCCCATCTAATTATACACTCTTCTGTCTCTAAGTTCATCATCTCTGCCCTGTGTTATTCGGGAACATTCCTATGTAATATGCAATTCAGATTACATTCATTAGTGAAAACATAACACGGAGTTAGTGATTGACAGGCTACGTCAAGCATGCTGCTATAGTACAGCAAAGGTGCCTTTCATTCTAAATTGGCAATCGTTAACTATAATTAAATCTTACAGATAATCCACTAAATAGGGATTATGGTCTCAGATAAATACTTGTTAGATTCGCTTTCCATTCCTTTGTAGAAAGGCTAACCTTTTAACACATGACTCAATCATATCACTGGACATGAGTTTTAGTCTTTGCTCCAGGTGTTTTGCAAACTCCTCCTCTGGCCAATGCAGATCTCTAATGAAGGTCTGCAGAGCATCCAGCTTCCAGAACAGATCTTCTGATGTTCCTGAGCCATTGCTGAAAAGAAAAGGAAAATAGTCATCAGAAACAGTGTCAGGCCACTAACACCAATTATGGAGACTGAAATTCAATGCCTGGGTGCACAGCAGTCTTAAGCAAAGGAAAGATATTGGGCATAAGGTTTCCACAGTCAGAGATTGTATTTTTTTTATCATACACCTTATCTGGTTTGTAGTCTCATGCTATGTAAACACTTAAGAATTCATCCAACTGCAAAGGAAAAGTTTTAGAAATTGCTGGAGAACAAGTCGATTAATTAAAAGTGTATGGTAAAAAGTAACTTAGGTTTATAACCACAAAGGCATGTGTGGTTATTTTGTGTTGTGATTTCATGCATACTTGACATGTCTCTCAAAAACAAAAACAACTAGCTGCTGGGGATTAGGTGGCTTGGTGGTAACTAGTGGTGGGCGAGGGTTTGCTATTCCCTTGACCTGTAACAATTCAGGCCCCTCAGCCAATAGCTGTCATATTTTGGGCCATACTGGATGAATAGTTTTGAAATACTCAAATATGTATCTCCTTAGAAAATCCTGAACAGCATCAGAATATGCAGACTAATAATGACCAATACCCTTTGGTGATATGTACCCAAGTAATTCAGATTTCTAGCAGCTTGGCTTCACTGTGAGATTTGAAACACATTTTCTTGTCTCATAAAATGCATCCTCGCAAACCACTAATGCCAACACTGTACTTTTTTCTTAGATGTTGTACACACCATGCATTACCATTACTGCTGGCATCATCTTCAGAAACAACATATGGCAGCGTGCGTTTCCAATGTGATGGATGCCAGCTGCACTGAAGTAATGAATGCTTCAGAGCGAGGAGAAAGCTACTGTGGGTTGAGACCATATCCCAGCATGCCAAGGTAACCCTCACCTTGTGGGAACTCTGTGGTGACAGGAACATATTCCTAAGAGATTTTTGTCAGTAGTTTACCGAAATTATGATCGAGTCATTTATTCACCGCGTGAAAGACTTTGGAAATATTTCATTGGAAAGATTGGAAATAGTTCAGTTCCATTGGAAAGATATAGCATCAAACATTTTGCAATCTACTTAATTTTGACATAACATATCCATGTCACAACAAAGCACTTTCTGCGAGCATACTGATGTTTAGAGTCAGTACTTCTGGAGAACCAAGAATACAACCACACAATCCAGGATTACAAGCTGTAAGTGCTATCAGTCTAATTTCTTTCAAACACTATAAAAGGTACACTCCATCCTTAATAGAACAAATCTCAAGAGCCAAGTGCATGTTATAATGACTTCCATAAAGGTCTCATAATATAATATAAAATATCACAAGTAAATTGAGAGTCAGCATTGAGTATTCTAAAATCAGAGATAGTGCTAAGACTGAAAGCCTTGTAACGAGAATGGCGTACGCTATAAGTAGATATCATTGTGGTTGTTAACTTAGCTTTCCTGTAATGATTGATCCATATCTTTCCAAACTATCACACAGCATGCAAACAGAGGAAAATGGAAACGTACTTATGTTTTCCATTTTCGCGCGTTTCCTAATCTAGTCTTCCATATAGTCAACCCGGCATGAAAATGCTTTTTATTGTTTTTGGAATGATTCCACTTTGCAGTGCTGTATCCTGTGCTTTGAGCAATTTAAACACATTTAAACTGTTAAATGTGCATTCATGTTAACAACTTTACACATCACTTTGTTAAAATGTTTCCTTTTAAATAATTCAAATCGGGGGCATTTACAAAAATGCAAAAATTACGAGGCATCAACCATCGTTGCAAATGAAAACTAAAACCTTTTGTTCTTGTTTCTTGTTTCTATTATTCCTTAATTCCTTTTATACAGTAGTGCTATTAGAAGCCAAACACTGGCGTCACTAAACCACTGGATATCATTTCTAACTCACTGAGTTTTAGGAGTACTGAATTCTGCCTTAGCATAACCGATATTAAAGCTTCTGCAGGTACTTTTGATAATCTGAGAGACATTGAGTAGTGTAATGAGATGTCTACATGCTTGGTATGGCAAAGATGTCGCTTACAACCACACAGGAGCTGTGTTAGAACTGCATAGTTTTATAAATTCATCAGTGTTGTGTGAGACCTGCTGGGTTATATATTGGCTATACATGGAAATGAAAAACAATGCTGAAAGAATTTTCCACTCTCAATACATGCAAACATCTTTGAATTAGATTTTTATTACGTACAGGTTTCCAAAATTATATTTTTCCTAATATCTTAGGGCAGAATGTTTGTTCCAAATTGAAATTAATGAAGATATTTGTAAATGATTAAACAGTAATATTGATCTAAGTATGGAAACGGATTCTTCATTACTTTTACTGAGAAATATAATAAGGACATCACCACTGAAGGGTTAATAGCATTTTTGCTTTAATTTATTCTTACCCAGCTACTTGATTGCAAACAAGGAAATAAAGGACAGATTCATGCCAGGTTACTATAAGTGAGAAATCAGACCTAACGTGTATTGAATACACACTCAGCATCATATATATTGGCGATCCATGACGAAGCAGAAAAACTAGGCATTTGTGGGAGGTTAACTGGTAGATTTGGTACTTTGGGGAGATTCACATTTGGTAGGTTCACATTGGGAAGATTACTTGTTAAACTCCTGTGGAAGAAACAGACAGAAAGAAAATACCATAACAGTGACAATGTAGATGCAGATGTGGAAGCATGTATGACACCCCTAAATAAATCCGCAAAACTACCAAGAACTTCACAGCAATTAAAACTCATTACAAACAAAAACTCATGTTACTTAAGCATGTGAGATGCAGGATTTGCTGTGGATTTTCTGAGTCTTGCAGTAGCAAGAAGTGAGCAAAGTTAGAGAAAATAAGGATACCACACATCAAGAAGCTTAGAACAAATAGGAAGATTATTGACAGAAGCAAAAATCATAGCTTGAGGCATGAAAAATGTTATTACATTTAAATAATTGCTAAATGAAAACCATCTTTGTTCATTCTCATATTCCCTTTCTGTAAACACAGTTTCTGTCTTTACAAACAACCCCTAACCAGAATAATTAAGCTTTATGTTATTTCAGTCCTCTTGAATAGCAAACATCTTTCTCTACTCCCAGGAATAGTCCAACTCTAAAACCATTAGGCCAATCTATAGAAGTGTAGAAAAAAACATTACCATTGTGTCACAAATACGTTTACGAAATCTCTCATTCTAGAACTACGAAGTAAATTAATACATTTTGTTAGAGACACAATAATCACAAAAATAGGTTAATGAGGATATTTTGTGTATTAGTTTGTCATCAATTTTAATTGGTTTATATGCATACAATGTATCATTCATGGAAATGCAAGCTAAAGACAACACTTCGGAATTAATATAATTCATATTTTAAAATGTTAAACTTACACAATATATGAAATAACTCAAAGTCAAAATCATTCCTATGTCAGTGAAGCCAGAAATAAATCACTAATGGAGTGAAATACAAATATTCATGTGCATAATTCTTTAAAACTTGTGTCACATATAGACAGGATGGTTAAAAAGGCGTTTGGCTCGCTCGCCTTCATTGCTCAGTCCTTTGAGTATAGGAGTTGGGACATTATGCAGACGTTGTACAGGACATTGGTGAGGCCTCTTCTGGAATTCTGTGTCCAGTTCTGGTCGCCCAATTATAGGAAGGATATTATCAAGCTGGAGAGGATTCAGAAGAGATTTTACCAGGATGTTGCTGGGTATGGAAGGTTTGAGTTATAAGGAAAGGCTGGATAGGTTGTGACTTTATTCATTGGAGCATAAGAAGTTGAGAGGTGACCTGATCGAAGTTTATAAAATAATGACAAGTATAGATAGAGTTGATGGTAATTGTCTTTTCCCTAAAATGGGGAATTTCAAGACTGGGGGTACATTTTTAAGGTGAGAGGGGAGAAATTTAAAAAAAGACAAAGGAGGCATTTTTTTGTTTACACGGGGGTGGTTTGCATGTGGAATGAACTTCCTAATGGAGTGGTGGATGCGGGTACAATTACAACATATAAAAGACATTTGGATGGATATATGAAGAGGAAAGGTTTGGAGGGACATGGGCCAGGAGCAGGCAGGTGGGATTAGTTTAGCTTGGGATTATGTTCAGCATGGACTGGTTGGACCAAAGGGTCTGTTTCCTTGCTATATGGCTCTATGACTCTGGTATGAACAACCCTTATTTTTATGTTTCTGGGAATTTAAAACCACAAACAGTACATTTCACAAGGGAAATAGATTGGAACCAGAAAAGCTAACTAACTTTTTCACCTGACAGTCAATAAAATGACTACTTCTAGTACAGATATCTTCTAATCAACCTGTTCAGAAATGTTATCACACACCTCTGAACAGGTTGGACTTGAACCCGAGCATCTATGCCTGTGAAAATCTAAACTATTAGAAACTCAGTCTGTGCGCGTTTTTATCCATTTTGGGCCTAGACCCTTCTTCAGAAATCTAGGCCCGAAACATCAGCCTTCCTGCTCCTGTGATGCTGCTTGGCCTGCTGTGTTCATCCGGCTGTAAACCTTGTTATCTCAGATTCTCCAGCATCTGCAGTTCTGACTATCTCTGAAACAATGGCTACTCTCAGTTTGGTGATAGATTCCCTGCACTGGAGTGAAATACAAATTATACTGCTATATATAAAACTATTTGAATCTAAAAGATCTAATGTTTAGCACTGTATACACGCAAACTGATGCCTTAGACTCATACTAATTACAAAGATAAGGAATTCAATTGGCAATATCAAAGATCAACCTGATGAATCTAGGGGGCCCTAGACCTCTTACATTATCAGTCCTAAACCTGTGTAGTTGGCATTTATTCAAAATGCTAAAAGTAAAAGTCAGCTTCTTTCTTAAGATGAATAATGTCTAAACAGCAGCTCAGGAAACAGTAGCCTCAATTTTGTAATGGGAAAGTCTGCCTGTAAAATATGCCTGTCAAAGATTATCAGGGTACTTAATGGCTGCAAAACCCTGACATTTATTTACATTAGATTTACATCACTGTGCCCTCTTCAGGCATTGTTGGGGACAGGCATCAGAGGAAGCCAGCGTACCATTTAGAGGCAAAATGGGGAATGAATGAGATTTTTCTCCTGATTACTACAATTTGAGGTAGTACAGGAAGCAGATCAGATGAAAACAGGTTCAAACTATTGATTAATACTGATAACTACTGTCGAATGTGGGATAGGTTTTGCATAACTTCAGCAATATCATCAAAAACAAGTGTCAAAGAGTCTTTCAACTGAACAGGAATATCAGGTTGGAAAGTCAAATAACAATGCACAGCTAAGATATCTAATATTCAGCAAAGTAATGAGAAAATATACTCTATAGCAAATTACAGCAATTCTTATTTGTATAGATGCCGGAAATACTTCTGCGACCCATCAGTCTGAACGGATTTCACTGGCAATGCTCATTTAATTGAAACCTTTAGTTTCCATCCATTTAGAAGATAAAGCAAGTAAAGTATGTTGAAGAATAAACTGTCAAATAAAACCAAGCCAGAATGTATATAAACAATTTAAGTCAAGGGCAAAACTATCAAGAACTCTCGGTACTATCTTCTTCTCATAGCAATTTAAGCTATAAATTGAGGCATGACTACAGCATGGGAATGATATTTCCTGTCATATTGACAGTACAAGAAACAAATGGTGTGATATTAAGGATAGTAGGAACTGCAGATGCTGGAGAATCCGAGACAACAAGGTGCAGAGCTGGATGAACACAGCAGGCCAAGCAGCATCATAGGAGCAAAAAGGCTGACGTTTCGGGCCTAGACCCTTCATCAGAAATGGGGGAGGGGAAGGGGGTTCTGAAATAAATAGGGAGAGAGGGGGAGGCGGATAGAAGATGGATAGAGGAGAAGATAGGTGGAGAGGAAACAGACATGTCGAAGAGGCGGGGATGGAGCCAGTAAAGGTGAGTGTAGGTGGGGAGTTAGGGAGGGGATAGGTCAGTCCAAGGAGGATGGACAGGTCAAGGGGGCGGGATGAGGTTAGTAGGTAGGAGATGGGGGTGGGGCTTGAGGTGGGAGGAGGGGATAGGTGGGAGGAAGAACAGGTTAGGGAGGAGGGGACGAGCTGGGCTGGTTTTGGGATGCGGTAGGGGGAGGGGAGATTTTGAAGCTTGTGAAATCCACATTGATACCATTGGGCTGCAGGGTTCCCAAGCGGAATATGAGTTGCTGTTCCTGCAACCTTCGGGTGGCATCGTTGTGGCACTGCAGGAGACCCAGGATGGACATGTCATCTGAGGAATGGGAGGGGGAGTTGAAATGGTTCGCGACTGGGAGGTGCAGTTGTTTATTGTGAACCGAGCATAGGTGTGCAGCTGGGAGGTGCAGTTGTTTATCGTGACTGGGAGGCTCGGGGATCGCTTTGCAGAACACCTACGCTCGGTTCGCAATAAACAACTGCACCTCCCAGTCGCGAACCATTTCAACTCCCCCTCCCATTCCTCAGATGACATGTCCATCCTGGGTCTCCTGCAGTGCCACAACGATGCCACCCGAAGGTTGCAGGAACAGCAACTCATATTCCGCTTGGGAACCCCGCAGCCCAATGGTATCAATGTGGATTTCACAAGTTTCAAACTCTCCCCTCCCCCTACCGTAGCCCAAACCCAGCCCAACTCGTCCCCGCCTCCCTAACCTGTTCTTCCTCCCACCTATCCCCTCCTCCCACCTCAAGCCGCACCCCCATCTCCTACCTACTAACCTCATCCCGCCCCCTTGATCTGTCCGTCCTCCCTGGACTGACCTATCCCCTCCCTAACTCCCCACCTACATTCACCTTTACTGGCTCCATCCCCGCCTCTTCGACCTGTCTGTTTCCTCTCCACCTATCTTCTCCTCTATCCATCTTCTATCCACCTCCCCCTCTCTCCCTATTTATTTCAGAACCTCCTTCCCCTCCTCCATTTCTGATGAAGGGTCTAGGCCCGAAACGTCAGCCTTTTTGCACCTATGATGCTGCTTGGCCTGCTGTGTTCATACAGCTCTGCACCTTGGTGTGATATTAAATCTACCCACCTAACGAAAAATTTGCTGATTAAACAGTTACGTTGCCCAAAATTACCTTTTTGTTAAATAGCTGTCCATATCATTTTGACCATGGGTTTTGCTTCATTCTTTTTAAGAGGTTGGCCAAGCTGGCAGCAGGCTCATGTAAATGTACTGATCCCAACTGAGATCTTACAGTAATTGAATGTACGGAAACATTCACAATAAGGTTAACAAGTTACATGTTGTACATGGGTACAGAATGATTGTGATTACGGAGACACAGTGACCAAGGCTGGGAATTCAATCTATAGGATGGACAGGCAGAACAGAAAAGGAGGTAGGTTGATATTGTTAATGAAAGATGAAATTCATGCAGGTAAGCCCAATGCAGAATCAGTCTGGGCGAGCTAAGAAGGAACTAGGGCCAGAAAACATTGCTGGGGGTTGTCTATTGACCTCCAAAGGGTTGTAGTGAGGCAGAGGTGGCATTAAACAGAAATTAGAGATGCCTACGACAAGTGTGCTACAGTAATCATGGGTGATTTCAATCTACGTATAGACTGGCTAAACCACATTAGAAATAAT